GGAGCGGAGCGGGGCCCGGGCGGCTTCTCCGTGTCCTGCCCTGCCGGGAGGCAGCGGCGCCGCCTCGTCCTTCCCGTCGGGGCTATGCGAGGGCCGCGCCGCCGCCTGCGCTAGGCCCGGCGCGGCGGCGGGGCCTCCCTCATGCGGGAGTACAAGGTGGTGGTGCTGGGCTCGGGCGGCGTGGGCAAGTCCGCCCTCACCGTGCAGTTCGTGACGGGCACCTTCATCGAGAAGTATGACCCCACCATCGAGGACTTCTACCGCAAGGAGATCGAGGTGGACTCGTCGCCCTCGGTGCTCGAGATCCTGGACACGGCCGGCACGGAGCAATTCGCCTCCATGCGCGACCTCTACATCAAGAACGGCCAGGGCTTCATCCTGGTCTACAGCCTGGTCAACCAGCAGAGCTTCCAGGTAGCGCCGTGGGCCGGCCCCCTTTTCCACCCTGTTTCCTCCCCTCCCGCTTCCCAGAGGGAAGAGGCCGCCGCCAAAGTGCTCCCAGGAGCCGCCTTTCCCCCCGGGAAGGCGCTGCCCCTGCAGGGAGTTACCGGGAAGGCCGCGATCCCGGCACCCCCTCTCGTTAAGGAACCGCTCCATGTTTAAAAACCAGACTTCCCGTTTTATTCCTTTTAAATATATATATTGCTGAAGAGGGCTGTTCCCTAGGTTGGTCTTAGAGAGGGGCATGTGCCCTTCTCCTGTGGGCCTCGAGCAACCCCTGCTTTCCTTTCCTTCCCTCCCCACTCCATTCCAGTGCCCAAACCCCCGTATTCCAGAGCAAACCCTCCCTCTGCACTGTAGGTGCTGGGCAGGAGAGGCAAAGCAGCCCTGGGGGATAATTTCGGGGTCTGGATTTCATTTGCGTTAGGAAAACTCAAACAGGGGCAATAGAAACTTCTCAGGCAGTAACTGGTTTAAACTGCCTTAGAAAGAAGCCTTTATTTGCGGGGAATAACTGGATTTAGCGGCGCCGCATGCAGCACGGGGATTTGCAGCTTGTGCGCTGGCTCCCGTGGCTGCTCTGGGTGTTTTCCAGCTGCTTGGCAGGGCCTCGCACACCCCCGCCGAGGGCTCGGCTTCATCTTGGAGGCCTCAGCGCAGCCCAAGGCAAAGGCTGCTTTGGGAAACAGCAGCCCTCACCCTGGGATGTGCTTCTTGCTCCTTTTGCCCTCGTTTTCACTAACTTTGGGACCACGGCATTCTCTATTATTCGAGGAATGGGTGTGGAGCTGGTAATCCACTCTGTTAAAATCTAATTATTCCCGTTTGTGTGTTTGCTCCGTGGCTTTTAGGTGTAAACTGCCCTCCACGGTTCTTTTTAACAGTGGCAGCTTCAAACACTTGCTCTGTCTGGGAGCTATGCAAGGATCCTTAGGCCTGAGTCCTGCTGATAGTGACTTAAAACACACAGAGGTGCAGAGGAGCCTGACTCAGGCCTTAAACTGTAAAGTCCCAGTGTTAGTTCAGACTTGAATAAATGCATCTCTAGGTAATAAACCCTTCTAATTTGCTTACTTAGATGAGATTAAATGTGTTCACAATGAATCAATTGAAGCATTCCAAAATGAGGAGACTACCGGCTAGATTTCTCAAGCCAGAAGCTGAGCAGAGGCTTCCTAAATGCTTGTGTAATATCCAGGTATCGGTGCAAATGTTACAAATCTGCTGTCATTAGCTTTGAGACAAACTTCTGACTAAAATATCAGTCTGATTTCAAGTGAGTCATACTCTATCTTCCCCTAGCTGAACCAAAAGTCTCAGAATATAGTAGTAACTAGATATATTTATGCAATATGCATATGAAAATATACTTTTAGTTTTTTTTTTTTTTTGAAATGCAATATTTTCAATTACATATAAGGGTTATTAAAATGTGATTTTTTTTGTAGTTGTTATAGCAATTCCATGTGATTATTGTGATTGTTTGATCAGGACATCAAGCCAATGAGGGACCAGATTGTCCGGGTGAAGAGATACGAGAAAGTCCCTCTGATCCTGGTGGGGAATAAGGTGGATCTGGAGTCGGAGAGGGAGGTCTTGTCCGCGGAAGGCAGAGCCCTGGCTCAGGAATGGGGCTGTCCCTTCATGGAGACATCGGCCAAGAGCAAAACGATGGTGGATGAACTGTTTGCTGAGATCGTCCGACAAATGAACTATGCCTCCCTGCCTGAAAAACAAGATCAGTGTTGTACAACTTGCATCGTCCAGTGAGAAAAGTTAAGAAAAACCTCAGTCATGGCCATACAGAGCAGGTTGGTTGAACAGTCATAACTAATTGAGGCGCATAATCATGCGTTTAAGTAAGCAGATAAAGTGGGGTAGGCGGTCTGAAATTAAGCAGTCTGATCTGGTATTTACTTTCTCCTGGAAGAGATGTGAGTTTGTGGATTCAATTGTGAATGAGTACGTGAGTAAAATGGTCTTGCTTTGCCCTGGTAGGGTTAGCTGGGGAACATTGCCTTTGCCTGTAGTAATTTTACAATGCAGTGGAGCCTATGACCTCATCTGCACCTGTTTTTGGCTGGCAGTGCTGTATTTGACATAATCTTATCCTTAATAATGTGTTGGGGTGTTGCAGTAGGGTTCTCCACTGGTTGCAGCTGAAAATAATTCAGATACCAAGTTAATGAGAATTTTTTCAGCAGGTAGTTTCTGTGGCTGAGTTTCCCACTGACTGTGCTGAGAAGACGTTGAGCTCAGAGCTAAACGAAGCCGCTGCGGTGCAGAAACCGAATGCACTCCAGGATGCTGCTGCCTTAGTGAGTTTGAGAGAGACCCACGCAGGGCTGCGGGGAGTGGCTCGAAGCCACACGCAGCAGTCCAGGAAATGTGCAGAGTTTTCTTCATCTGAAAGCTCCCGAGCGCGGAGCACATGATAAAATGGCTCCGATGGCTGCGCTTTCCCAGTGACTCATACGAGGTGTGGTGAGGCAGCAGCAGGCTGCTCGCAGGGGGGTTTGCAGCTTCCCCCTTTGGTGGCTGCTTTGGCTTCCTCCAAGGCTCGCTGCTCTTGGCACGGGGCAGGCACCGAGTTCCCTTTCGGCACCGTAACTTGGCTGTCACCTACTTGTGCAAGTGGCTCTGCTGCTCCCCTGCAAGTGGCCACACTGTCCTGCCCGGGGGGCAGCTCTAACCCCTGGCCCTGCTCTCCTGGCAGGGCTGGGTGGTTTTCACCATGGCTCAAGTGTTAGCTGCTGAAAGGGACTCTGTTCTGCGACCCCCAGGCCTCTGCAGGCCCTTCTGCCTGAGCAAACGACTCCATCCATCTGTAAGAGCAAGTGCTGGGTTGAAGGACAGCACAGAAATTCAAAGCAGGGAAGTGTCCCTTTTGACAGCAGTGCTGATGGAGGCTTGGGCTTTGACTGCCATGCAAGTTAGTCCTGCTTGAATCCGGGGAGGGTTTTGTGTCTAGGTGGCAAAGCAGGTTGTTACTGGAAGCTTTGGACTATGTGTCTACTTTTGTCTTGAGTATAAGGTCAGAGTGAAGTCTCTCCTTTGAGGTTTTTCCAAGTGCTTTGTGAATATACAAAAAACTTAGGTATTCATGACCCTAGCACTGTCACACTAAAGATAATACATGAGATTTTTATCTCCAGAAGCTGTGAAATGAGGAAGGGCTCCTAAGAGGTGTGTGTAAGTTCAAGGCTTGCTTGCTGAAAGGCAAGCAAACTGCTTGTGTCAGAGCAGAGAAAAATTAAATAAGGCCTTTTCCTTGTACACTAATCCCCACTGCCTGCGGAGCTTTATAGGATTACGGGAATGAGTAAATGAAAGGAATTGCTGCTCAATGCTGCAGCGTTAGTATCACTTACAGGAACACGAAGTTTCAGCTACTTCGGGGCAGCCCTGCAGATAAGAGTGTCTGGAGTCCAGGTGCGGTGCCAAAGGTTGTGGCCGTCCCCGGCGCTGGTGACTCAGCCCTGCAGGGGCTGTCACACCGTGTCTGCAGCAGCAGGACCGTTCCTTGCTTGTGTGGGTGCTGCCAGGATCGTTCCTTGATTCCTTGCTTGTGTGGGTGCTGCCCAGCACCACCTCTTCACCTGTGCCAAGCCAAATAAGCCTCTTTTCCTCATCAGATTCCTACTCGATTCAGTCCTTGCTAAGGCTGTGATGTCTTCCTTATTGCTAGTCCAGGTTCTTCCTGGGCCGCCTCCTCCTACCTTTTACTTCAGCCTCACACTTTTTGGATACTTCTGGTCTTCCTGGCTCCCGTTTGGTCCTTGTTCTTTGACTGAGTGGGTGTAGTATCTCATTAACATGATGATAAGCCTTTGCTGCCTGATAATTTCTATCTGATAGCTGTAGTGTAGGAGAGCCATTGGCAGTGTCTTCTGATAGCCAGCTCTGCAGGGATGAGTATTCAGCTTATCTGTGATCCAAAGGGACGACTGCTGCTTCTCCAGCATCTCCTCTTGCAGCAAGCCCTTCCAAGGGAAGGGAAACGAAGACAGTGGAGGCTGCTCTCTGAAAGAATGAGTGTGGGTATGGGTTTCAGCTGCAGTTCAGCCCCAACTTCATCATCATCATTTCCAAGGCCTGTGCCCTCTCTGTGTGCACAGCTAGCTTTAGGTCTGGGTCACTTAACTCAGAAGGAAGTATATAGAAACAGTTTGAGTTGCTCCATCAGAACAGGAGAAACACAAGTGCAGTGTATGGAACACATGCTGAGCTATTCTCACCAGTCCTTCAAATTTTGAAGGCTATTTTGTGTCACTTCTAACTAGCAAGTATTGCTGAGTTATTTTTTGGTACTAATGTATCTCCCCTCTGACAACTGTATTAAACTGGCTGCTCTTGAGCCTTTTTCAAGGCTGAGGAAGGCTGATGTGGCTGATTAAGTCACTTCAGAACTTGGACTTCTTCAAGTTCCCCACCACAGGATGCTGAGCACTAAGGTCTCCCTGAAAGCAGAGGAAATGTGTGACCTTCCATGAGGTAGGATGTTGTGTAAGTTCATTCTTCACGTCTTCATGTCTCCAGCCAATATGCTTAGCTGAAAACAAGGATGGGTTTGAGCTCCCATGTGCTAACCAGTGTGTTCTGTAGCTGCTTTGGGTGCTCTTGCTGCATCCTGTTCTCCCCAGCCTGCAGCTTTCCTGCGCTTGGACATCCGAGATTCCCGGCAGCTGCTCCCTGTTGCGGGTTCCAGTAGCTCTTGAAGTCTCAGCACGAGTGGCTCATATCCTGCATCATCTGTGGGCTGATGTGTTAAGTCTCGTTCCAAATCTTCTCTGTACTTCTGTACATGTTAATATTGGGGTAAAAAGCTGCTGGTCGGTGATTTCTGTCCCTTCCCTTTGTGAGTAACTGCCACTAACAAGTGCTGAGGGAAGAGCATCTCTGTTTCCACACTGAAAATATCCTGCCCCTGTTGCTGTGTAGAGCAGACTCGTTTATCCTTCAAGGTTGTCTTATCCCTCTGCTCCATCTTCCTGCGGAAGGGAACACGATAGCAATTTTGTGGACGACTCAAGCCGTATGAAGTACCATATAACACACTATGTAGTAAGTAAGGACAAGTTACATGGAAAAGTGCAAATTCTGAGCTGGGAAGTCCCTAAGCTGCACACAGGCGGCTGAAAGGCCGTTTGCAGCCGTTGCTTCCTCTGTTTCTGCTGTCCCTTTCTGCCCACGCAGCTCTGGGCCTTGGGTGTCGATGGAGTTTCAGGATAAATCACTTGTTCTCTAGCTGTCAGTAGACTAGAAGAGGCCCTAATGCCCTGCAGTGACAGCAGTAGGCTTTTAAACTGCCAGAATAAGCAACCCTGCTATAAATGGTTTGTCTTTCCATGTTCCAGGTGAGGATACAGGATGTGTTAAGGGGGTCCAACCCATTCCTATTAAAAGCCAACTGATTGTTACTGTTTTAGAGTCCAGGGACTACTAAACCTTGACCTTAATGGTGGGGGAAAAACCTCACCAAAATTACTGAAAATCGCTGTTAGGTGCCTTTGGCAGGAGGAAATACATAAATGAACAAAACCTCTGTCTCTGCTCTTGCTGATACAAGAGGTAGGGCCTTCTTCCATCCCAAGGCAAGGAGGGGACCTCTGGACTGTGCCAGTGTTCTTAGTAAGCAGGTATTAACTGAGAGCAAGTCAGCAGCTTAAAAGAAACCATATCAGAGGAAACACAGGGGCCTGCCACAAAGAAATGACTTCAAGAATAGAGAAGATGCTCATCAAATGTTCTGAAAAGCCAAACATCAAGCTGTAAGGAAATACGTGCACATGCATACGAAGGACAGCTTCTGCAGACCTGAGACTTGGACTGAAATTTTTAGGATGTTTGTACAGATAATCTCATGAAATGCAAGCCAGTTATCAGAAATACAAAGATGTTTTGGTCATGTTGGTGGAACTGCTTTTCTTTTTTTGTGTGTGCTTGTCTCAAAACAGTGGTGTGCAGCTCTACCCCCGCTAAGGTGAATTCTGATAAATGCAAAGTGTGTGGGTGTTCTAATATTAATTTAGAGGATCTGAATGTTTAAAAACTCAGGTCTTGAGTTAGTTGGCTCAGTTACATTTTCCCAAAAAGTTGTGCAAAACACTTCATTTTCCTGATGCAGAGTTTCACTTAGCACTGGTGCTAAGCCCAGGGTGCAGGAGAACTTAAATTCTCCAGTTGATCTTGGTTGTTTCAGTTGCCCCTTTGAGATACTGAACTGCCTTTTACGGTGTTCACTGTAACCAGTTGTTACCTGTTTGCCTTGTTTACCACCAGAATTAGTGTAAAAACTTCAATAATGCTTCATATGGGAAAACTAGCTGTTCCGCACTGTGGGTAAAGCTGATTTCACTTTGAATGTGCCTGGAATATGGCTTTCATTAGCTATTTTGTTTAAATTGCAGATAAAACTCAGAGGAAACTTGCACAGATGCTGCTTTGGAGAACTTTCAGCCCAGGTTGCAGAGCTGAGCCTTGGTAAACCTGTCTCTATTACAGCACATTGCCATACATCTAAGTGCATAAGGTTGGTGGCCTCCAGGATCCACACACCTTAACCAGAATGCTTAGCATGTTTACCATAAGTTTAAGAAATCTGTTCTTTACCTATCAGTCCTTTTATAGCTTTCTAAGTTCATATAATGGCTAATATGCAAGAGTTCATTTTTAATATTTTAATTGATTTCTTTAATCAATTTCTGAACTTGTATTTATTAAATACTTAAACTCAGTATTACCTACTCAATGCCTTTTAAAAGAGAGTTTTAATGGAGAATAAATTGAGCCTTAAACAAATGGTTACTTCTGTATATTACCTCGCATCAGTGCTAATTTCTATTTGCAAGTTTCTCCTACAACATAGATGGTCATTCTTTGAGACTTTTTGTTTACGTGTGACAGTGTCATGAAAAGATACTGAAGGCACCTCCTTTGTATGGATGTAGTATCCCTTTTCTTGGCAAATGCAGCTGTGATAGTGTGTAACTGGTCTGATTTGATAACTGAGATTCCTTGGGATGGGATGCCAAGTCTCCAGCTGATTTTCTCTTTTTTTTCCCCTTCTCGCAGTCATGGATTTCTTAAACTCATTTAATCACAAATGACAATTGTAGCATTGAAACGTGGCAGCCCACCTTTCCTTCTGCTGAGTTTCTGAACTTGTGTGTTTACAAATAGCTTCTCTCTGCCTTTGAAAAGGGATAATGTATCCTCCCAAGTGGGCTGCCTGCCTGGTCAGAGTTAGCTCAGCTTTGCCTGGCACGTTAAGTGACATCTAGTGGACCTCTGCACATAAAAATCTGATGCAAATAAGATCACTTTACATTTTAGAGTTCCTAATATTTGTCTTTCTGAATAATATTTTAAAGCAATATTTGTTAATTTTTTTCCTTGCACTGTCACAAATTGCTTTTTAGATTTTTTTTCCAATAAACAAGTTTAATATTAGAGATAAGTTGGTGTAATGAGGGGAAAGCACCAGGTTTCAGTGATACTAACTGCAAGTGTGCTTTAAACAGCCATTGCCTTCCATATTGTTTACCTGATCAACATATTTTCTCTGAATACTTGAAAATTTTAACAATAACACAGGTATAAAGAGCTGAATGAAAATGTACAAAGAACAGATGAAATCTTTTTGTTTAGTTTTATTAACATGTTGCATACATGAGAGCTTTTTCTAGCAGTGGTTAAAATGTGTGCTTTTATTTTGCAGAAGTTTAACTGCAGCTCACCTACTGCACCAAAGTTCTAGGTTTTTTAGGAGCCCAGCTTTAGTCATTTGAACATGCTTCTAGAAATGTACATTTTTGTTTTCCTTGTAATAGCTAAATAACTTTGAGAAAAGCTCTAGTAAAAGCAGTGATGGATATATGAGGTTAAGCAGTTGAAAACTCACTAAATGTATTGTGGATGATGGCATTGAAAACAATAAAAGATCACCGGTACAGTATCTCAACATTAATGTGTTTTATTGGTAATAATTCAGGCTGACTTTACAGTATTGAGCGGAAATAAAGATTCTGGCTCTGGAAATAAAGATTGAATTTGAATTCTGAAATGTAGAGAGCACCAAGTTTTCTGCTTGGGTATCAAAACATCTAATTTTCCTGTGAGGTTACTTGAAACTATTTTTTTTTTTTGATGTGTTTTTTTGTTGTTGTTGTTTTGGTTTTCCCCCCTGTTTGTACAAATTCATAAACAGGCTGAGGCCATTACTTAGGTTTGCACTTTAATATCAGAATTAAACCAAACCCTGTATTTGAACTAGGTTTTTAAGTGGTGTTGATCTTTTTCGTAGATTGTAAGGAAGTAATAGGGAATAAAAGTAATTGATAAAGATCTTTAGCTTTCCTTTGTCTAAGGGGGGAAAAAGTTGGTTGATATTAATCAGTGGTTCATTCCTATGGGTAGTTATCAAATCAGTGTTCATTTTCATTGACCTCAGCGCAAAAAAAATTTAAAAAATTAAAAAAAAATAAACTTGAACTAGCTTAGAGTGACAGGAGTGGGAAAATGAGAGATGGTTTCTGCAGCACACTTTGGGGGGAAAAAGGGACCAAAAGTTATTTTAGGCTTCCTCAATAGATTGCATGTGAAGTTGCTTATTAGTATAAGAGGCTATTAATAAATGCAATACATAGTCTTTATAGGGCATCTGTTTAGGAGTTGTTCAAATCACTGCAGTAGGGCTCTACAAATAAAAATGTAACCTAACATCATGTATCTAATGTACTGTATCTTTATCAGTGATAGGTGAAATCTGGAATAACAAGTGCAAAAATGGAACAATTACCTATAATGCTTTGTATAAAAAAAAGAATTTCCAGTAGACTTCATTTTTGTCATTTTGTAAGACAACCCTACAGTCCACCTGTTTGTAACTTTTTTAATAAAATAGATATCTGTATTACCAAGCTGGGTGACTGGTCTGTGTTCAGGTTCTTGTAAGCGGCCCCGTAGTGACGGGTTGGTTTGTGGGGAGGTTTTTGGGGACGCGGAGGCTGCACCGACCTCCCTGCCTGGGGCTCGGGGACACGAGGGGCGCCCAGGCTGGTGCTGAAGCTCCTGCTGCTGCTCTGGGAAGAGGAGGTGCCAGCTCCCTGCTCCATCTCTAGGGCCAAGAGAGGTCCCAGGTCCCTGCTCCATCTCCAGGACCATGGGAGGTACCAGCTCCCTGCTCCATCTCCAGGGCCAAGAGAGGTGCCAGCTCTGTGCTCTGTCACTGGGACCAAGGGAGATGCCAGGTTCCTGCTCCATCTCCAGGGCCAAGAGAGGTGCCAGGTCCCTGCTCCATCTCTGGGACCACAAGAGGTGCCAGCTCCATCTCCAGGGCCATGGGAGCTCCCTGCTCCATCTCTGGGACCAAGGGAGGTGCCAGGTCCCTGCTCCATCTCCGGGAGGCTCCATGTGCCCCAAGGGCTCCCTGGGGAGCCTGGTCCCGAGCGGCGCTGGGGCCTCCCTTGTGCTGCAGGTAGAGTCATCCCCACAGCCCTCCCTGGTGCTGCTGCGTTTGCTGCTGCTTCTGAAGCCCTCAGGCCTCTCTGCTGTGTTCAGGTGGCTCTTCCTTCTCTCCCTCCTCCAGTGTTAATCTGAAACTTCATTCAAAAGAAACACCCATGTTTTCTTTAACCTTATTTTATTTGTACACATTTCTATGAAGTGTGTGCTGCACTTGCAGTGGGTCCTGGCAGCTCTTTGTCCTGTCTTGCTTCAGTCTCTGCTGTGCTAATGCACCCATAGCAAACTCCATGCTGCTGGAGCTCAGTTTTTGTGAGAAACTGCCTCTGTTTTCCTAGCAAGCCTGTGGAGGGGCCCCAAGCTCTTTGATTACCGTTATCCTAAATGTCCCAGTAAAGCCTTGAGTTTGCAAGTCAGTGATCTGAGTCATCAGGGCCCTAAGAGCAGGAGTCCATCTTCTGCAGTTCTCCAGTGCTTGGGACTGATCTCAAGTGCAGTAAAGTGTTAATTAATATAAAATACAAATTAAATTCTGCAAAGCCTTGGTACCTTAGAGCCAGCTTCAACCATCACTGACACATAGACAAGCAGAAGCACTTGGCATCCTCTCACTGCGCTTCGCGGTGCAGCGTCGGCTCTGTCTTGGGGCCTGGCTTCCCTGCTCCTTCTTCCTGCTCCTTTTACCTGCCCTGAGGGGAAATGACAGAGAAAGGGGGAGGTTTCCCACTGAATGGCCCTGCGGGCGCAGTGCTGGCGCAATGCTGGCTTCCCTCGCCCCGCTTCCATGCTGGTGAGTAACGTTGCCGTGTTCCGGCTGGTCTTAATGTGCTGGTGAACGTGGGGACTAACGGGGCCGGTCAGCTGGCCGCTGTGTGCATCTGTTTTCGCTAGCGTGGCTTCAAAACAAAGGTCTTGATTCTGCAACAGCTTCCCCGATTCCTCGTGGTGCTCTCAACTCCCTCCTGCTGCCTCTCGGAGCCGGGGAGCTGCATGCGGGTCCAGCCGGAGCCCGGTGCAACTTGTTGGTTTCAGCACCTCCCTGCTGCAATAATGCGGGAGGCTGCGCTGAGAACCATGAGGTGCTTGGACTTACCTGGAGTCAGGAGCACTGTTGTTGTAGAATCATTTTGAAGTTGGACTTTTTGCATGGTATGAGCTGGGACATCAAGGGAAATAATACATATGAAAGCCATAGGTATCTAGCGGTCATATCTTTGTGATACTGTAAGTTAATGCATTTCACTTTAAACTTCCCATGCCCATTCTAAAATATGCACTTGATAAACAAGCACAACTCAGTAAATTAAACAGGCAATCAGCTCTGGGGAGTTTTTGGGCTCCCCAAGCTCATTTTTCTTGCATTTTTCCTGCCTTTAGGCTGCCTACTTCATCCAGTTATATGTCCTTAGAAGATCTGTGTTGACATGAGACTTAAATTATCTGGTCAGGGCAGAAAAGAGGAAAGATATTTGCTGTTTGTGACATTCCTGAAGGACTGCTTGTCCTTTTGGGAACCAGCAGAAAGAGTGGTTAATTGGCTGCTTGGGATTCATCCTACCACTGAGACAGACCTTAGACCCTTATTCTTAAAAGCAAGTTAACAACAACCAAAAAGCAAGTTAACAGCAATCATGGAATCAAGCGCAGCATGCTTGCTATGGGAAAACAAGAAGAAATAAATGGAATTTCCAGCAAAGCTGATTTATGCTGGAAATGAGGGGAAAAAAAAAAACAAACTTATTTTAGGATAGTTGAAGCTTCACTATTGGAGGTGGTAAAATGTATTGCACGATAATTTTTGGAGACAACATAACTATGGATAACTATTTGCTGGGGAATGGGGAGGATGTCTGGTTTCTGCTTTAATGCAGCAGGTAGCCAGGAGCGATCTCCTCAAGTCCTTGAGCCCTGTGTTTCTGTGACCTCAGTCCCATCACCGATCCTATCGTTTGCTATTTGATGGTCCAGGAATTAGCACAGAGTTGCCAAATGCCATGTGCCTAGTCTCAGTAATGCAAATTTTTCTTTTTAAAGATAGGTTTAAATGAAGATTTCAGCTTCAGGGCCTGTCCAGGGTCAAGATGTGGCAAGAAGTGAATGGTTCCGCTGGGGGACACATCTGTTCGTTACAACATTTCTTTAGAGTGGCAACTCTCTAAGCTGCTTGTCTATGAAATGTCAGCACAGTGACTCAGGCCATCTGAGCTATTTCATCTTGGGGTCCCAATTAATGATTTGGGAAGGTTTTATGAGTGTTCCTCCCCAACCTCGAAGCAGCCGCGTCCTAGGCACGTTTCCTGCTCTTTGAAACGCGTCTGTGTCGCAGCCGCCACCCCCGAGAAGGCCACGGAAGAGGCGCCGTGAAGCAGAGGTTGCCTTTGATCGCTGCAGAAGCACCAAACTCCCAACTTCAGCTGGAAACCGCTCTGTTTCCCTCCGCTTCCTGCTCCAAAGAGCGGCTCCGACACCACCTTAGCCCCCGCTTTGAGCTTTATACCTGGAATCGGTCGGATGGGACTGAAATGCGATAAGCATCTTTTAGGGGAGGTTA